GCCTTCTTAATTCCAGGCAATTCTGGCGGGCTGAAGTGACAGCTCATGAAGTACAGCGAGTACTGGAAACCTCACAGAAAGTCCGCATGGAGCAGATGATCTCAGAGGAAGACGGCGAAATCTACATCAGAGCCTTACAGGGTCATGGTCGTGACATCCCACTGGACGAAGATCAATTGCATGAGGTTCTGACCTCCTCAACAACACCGGAGTGGGGTGTCCACGGGACGAGCTGGCGGGCCTGGCAGCAGATTCGCTCCTCTCAGCTGCGCAGAACGCAAAGACGTGACATACATTTGTCTTTGTCACCAACCAAAACTGCAGGATTCAGGGAGGACTCCTCAGTGGAGATCTGGATCCACCTGCCGTCTTTGATCGACAGTGGACACATAGTGCGTCGGGCGAAGAATGGAGTACTGCTGACGCGTGGACCCATTGACCTGTCCCACATCAGCACTGTCATAGATCGGCACACAGGCAAGTCTCTGCCCTTATAAAGCGTCCTCAGCAGTTTCACCTGTACCGAATTCGTTCTGCCGTGGTCTACTTTCGCAGCTGGAGGCTTCCTCCGGAGGCTTCCTCCACTTCATTTTAAAGTAGACAGCAAGTACGCCCTCTGCTTAAGGCAACAAAGACTTTGATACAGCCTGAGCGAGTTGTCTCTCTTTGCATGCTCTAAGAGGAGTTTCCCCACCCTCCGCCTGCACATTGCCCAGGTGAGCTTAGCGTCGCGAAGTCCACAAGCAGTGGCAGGCACTTCCTTCTGCAGTTCCTTGTTCTTGAGCGGTGCGGCTTTCAGCTAGAGCCCTTGCATGCTTGTTAGCAATGGTCAATGCCTGCCTGACATAAGAAACCGCTTCACACTTCTGTTGGCAGTAGCCATTCTAACCTCGAATCCAGCCATCAACACCTGTGTTTCCAATGGAGAGCACTAGCTTGGTGCAAGCGCTCACTCCGCTCCTGGTTGCTCTCGTACACCAGCAGGTAGTTGCTGAGGACCAGAACATCTCCTCCGAGACTACCAGCACAAGGGTTGCGGAGTATCTCAACACTCACAAGGTGAAAATCCTCGCTCAGTTCATGAACTACGCACATGAGGTGCTCCAAGCAGAGAGGTTGAAGACACTGCTTTGGGCAGTACAGTCATTGACCGGATATGATGAATGGCGTGAAATCAAGGCGGCCCGGCGCCAAAAGTTGCGGAGCATCAGCCTACGATACTTAAGCCTGATGAGGTTCACCGAGCTTCCCACCACCCAAGGAACGTGGTACTACAGCGTGATCCTCACCGAACTAGAGAGCTTCTATCGTGAGACGCACATTATCCGGTATACCTCAAGCATGCTTCCGCCGCATCTTGACGCTCAGTATCAACAAGAGGTTGGGCAGGTGCGTGATGAGTTCTTTGCAGAGGATGCGGAAATGAACATAGCGATCGCACAGTGGACCACAATTTCGGCAGGACTCACAGGATGAGTGGAGGCTACCTCCGGAGGCTTCCTCCCCTTCCTGCACCTCGCCGATTCCCTGTACACTTTTCAACACCTGAATCGGCACTTTTGAAGGTGCAACTCTCGGCTCGACTAAGCCATGCATCAGTATGGCAGAACTCCATTTAGCACAGAGGTTGATAATAGTGTCTCTTTCTTTCTTTCATTAGGAGGCTTCCTCCCATGTTGTTCGCATCTATCATCTTCTTGAGACCTTCTTCATACATTAAAGTGCAATGGAGCTTCTCCAGCAAGGGAATGCAATATCACTTGTCTAGCCTTGCAACAAAAGCAGATGGCTTTTTGTGACCATCAGCGGCTATGAGGAAGAAATCTTGCCTGAGTCTGTGTTGCACAATGGGGATCCCACCCACCTACCCCATGCAGAGCACACCGCTCGTGATGCAGGCTGCATTTGGCTGACGTCAACCGATGCTCTGAACAATCAGGCAGGGAGTGATCTCCAGATAGCATCGCTTGCAGCTAATCATCTCGTTAGCACCAGCATGCATGCTCACACTTGATGGAACTTTCAGTTGTGAGCAGCTTGCGCTTCAGGCAAACTACAATCATTAATTCTCATTTTCAGTCAGCAAGCTGGCAATCTTGATCTACTCTAGTTTGCAATGCACTTTTGTTTCTATCTTAATTTAATCTTACCGTTTTCTTGAACCTATTGATTCATTGCATCAGATGAGGAGGTTTCCTCCTGAATATCCTTAACCCCACATTTTCTCGACCAGGTGTGAAATTTTGCCCTGTCGCAGCGCTGGCCCCAGGAGCCGCGCAAGGCGTCCCAGGTCAGACACACACACTCAGCTTCCCTGCATCCAATTTGGGTGTCCTATTTGGAACGTGCAAGGCCGCCTTGGTGCGCTCTGCCTACGGCCCTCTGCCAGTTGTTTAGCGTCCTGTGTGAGACGTCACTAGACGGGAACGCTGAGTGTCGGCTTCACCAGAGGTACGGCTCGCTAAACAGCTGGTGCGTGGGTGCTGGACGCAGTGACTCA